AAAAAAGTACTGGTAATTATTTAGGCCCCTATGTAGGCCCCTACATTAGAGTTTAAGATTAGAGGTGGTTGACAGTCCTGGTGCCCTTGAATGCTAGCGGCGACATCCGAAAGTCTAAAGTTTAATCAGAATCCCTACCCATAGGCTCCCTTGTAGTTCCTTTTTGGGATTACCTTATAGGATTCTAAATATGAACCACAAAAAGGAACTACTTAGGAGACTGTGGGTAAGCCCTGAGCCCTAAACCGTTCCCCTGCTTCGAACCTCAATCCTACACCCCCGGAGCCTTCTAGGCCCAGTGAAGACCCAAGACTCAACAAAAACCCTAAACACTAAATTCCTCAAGCCCTATGCCTGAAAATCCTCAACCTATGAACCCCTCAACTCCTAAACCCCAAATACTCCTAAACCCTAACCCCGCAGCCCCCAGAGCTCCTCAAGGGGGTAGAGGTTCTTTACTTCCTCAAATAGGCCATAATAGGTCCTTCTTACAGGTATTAAGGCCCCCTATCCCCCAAAAACCCCAACCCTAAACCCTAAACCCTAAACCCTAAACCCTAACCCTAAACCCTAAACCCTATACCCCGGCTCCGACCGGGGCACGCTCTGCAGGCATTGCGGCCAGGAGCCAGCCGGCCTGGAGCAGAGGATCGGCTGGGTAATCTAGGGTTCCTATAAAAGGGTATAGGGCTTAGGGTTTAAGGCTTCCTTTAAAGGGATCTACAAGGGTTCTATAGGGTTTAGGGTTTAGGGTCGAGGGTTCCTAAAGGGGTCCATGTACCCAAACAGTATATACTTTGGCCTTAAAGTAGTCCCTATTTGGGTACTTTGGGGCCAATGTAGATACTATATGAGTACATAGACCCTCGGGGTAGGGTTCCTAAAAGGGTCCCTTTAAGGCTTCCTTTAAAGGGATCTATAAGGGTTCTATAGGGTTTAGGGTTTAGGGCTCACGGTCCCTTTAGGGTTTCCTTTAAAGGGATCTATACGGGTTCTATAGGGTTTAGGGTTCCTAAAAGGGTCCCTTTAAGGTTTCCTTTAAAGGGATCTATAAGTTAACAAGGGTTCTAGAGGGTTTATTGTTTAGGGTCCCTTTTAGGTTTCCCTTGAAGGGATCTAAAACTAGGTTTCCCAGTAACCCTTTAATCAGGAGACTCCCAAATAAAAAGGGCCAAAGGGTACTACTGGCGAATCTAATAAGGCCTCTATAGGGTTGAGGGTTTAAGGGTCCATGTGCCCAAATGGTACATACTTTGGCCTTAAAGTAGTACATGAACCCTAACGGTCTCACTGAGTAAGGTTCCTGTGTTTCAGGTCTCTGTTGCAAGGGCTAGGACTAGGATAGGGGTTGGGGGTATATCAAAGTATCATTATAGTAAGGGCCCCCCTACGCATTTTAACTGGCATAGGCTTTGGGCGGGGGTATCTTATAGTTTTTTTCTAAATGGTAACCCTAAGGACTAGTACTGGTAATTCTTCCGACCCTAGCTGCGTAGGGACTTCGTGGGTGGATTGAGACATTACTAACTATTCTGACCCCGAAAGTAAACTCGAAAGGGTCAGTCTTAGGCTTAAGGTTTAATGCTTAGATTTAAACGATTTAGGGTTTAGGGTTTTTAGGGTTTTCAAGACTTTTAGGTCTTTAGACGTTTAGGGATTGGGTATAGGCTTTAGGTCCAAGGCTTAAGCGTTATTTCCTTCCAAGGGTTTAGGATTCATGACCCTGCCAGCCCCACAGATGTGGCCTGGAAGGTAAAGTTTGCCACATCTGCTGAAAAACGGAGCGCATGCCACCGAATGGACCTTCCTTTGGTTATCTGGGAATGCGGCCCTGTGGCCCCTTCCACTTACAACAAAATGCATGCGCAGTCCTCTGTAACCTTAGACCCTTGAAACTCACCCGACCCTACAGACAGGGAACTCTTTACTACAGACCTGGATCCTGCAACAGGGCTCGGCGTATCGGCAATATGCACGCTAACCCTAAGGGTCCATGTACCCAAATAGTAATACTTTGGCCTTAAAGTAGTCCATACTTGGGTACTTTGGGGCCAATGTATATACTAGATGAGTACTTATATGGACCCTTAAATCCTACTAAAGCCTATAGAACTCTCATAGGTCTCTTTAAATTAAGGAACCCTTAAAGGGAGCCCCAAATAAAGGAGTACATGGAACCTTAGGGTAAGATAAGCCCCTCTTGAAGTTCAAGGTTTCCACAGAGGGCTAGTGCAGTAAGCTGCCCCAAAGGCTCCATGTACCTTTATAGTAGCTACTTAGGCTACTTAGGCCTTAAAGGGGTCCCTATACAGGTACTTTAAGGCCTAAGTATCTACTATGAAGGTACATGGAGCCTTTGGGTGCCACTTTGGCTTCAACCTCTTTAGGGTTCATCGTGCTTTGGCGACTTAGGGAAAGTCGAAACACAACATTTCTGTGGGTTTAGGGTTTAAGGTTTAGGGACTTAAGCCTTGAAAACCTGAAGGAAGCCGCAAAGCTCAAATCCATCCTAAACCCTAAACCCTA